ACTACTACGACTACTACTACTACTACTGCTACTTCGGCCACGCCGACGACTACAACGACTACGACGACGACGACTACTACGACTACGACTACGACTACGACTACGACTAAGACCACGACTACCACTACGACTACGACTACGGCTTCGACCACGACTACGACTACGACTACCACTACTACTACTACTACTACTACTACTACTACTTCTACTACTACTACTATTACTACTACTACTACTACTACTACTACTACTACTACTACTACTACTGCTACCACTAATAATAATAATCGGTTGTCTTTAGAACCCCCATCGTTGGAAACGAATTGTCTGTCCGGCGACCGCATTCACGGACTGGGATCCCGCGGATACTGAAAAATAGCTAGGTATCCGCGGCACCCGCCGCATAACAATGACAGCAACGACTACGACTACACTTACCGTTACGACTACGACTACGACTACGAATGCGACAACGATTACTCCTACAATCGCGACAGCTATGACGACTACTAGCACGACTACATTTACGATTACAATCACGATCCCAACCATGCTTACAATCGCGATTACAACCGAAACTATTGACTCTCGCCTGTAGCACAGTTCCCTGGGCGGAAAAACAAAGCATCAATGTCCAGCCTGCCCAGCAATAAAGGGGCCACGAAGGGCAGTGAGGAAGCCACGAAGGGCTGCAACGGGGCCACGAACGGCAGCGAGGGGGCCACGAAGGGCTGCAACGGGGCCACGCAGGGCAGCGAAAGGGCCACAAAGGGCAGCGAGAGGGCCACGAAGGGCCGCACCTGGGGCCACGAAAGGCTGCAACGGGTCCCCGAAGGGCAGCGAGGGGGCCACGAGGGGCTGCAAACGTGGCCACGAAGGGCAGCAAGATCCCGATTCCTATGTAAGCTGTGAGGGAGTCCTAAGCGTGAGCGCGACTCCTGGGTGCCTGAGTGTCGGGAGCGCGGCGCTTAAGCAAATTGCTTGGAATTCCAAAGCAAGAGCGCGATTCTTAAGTAAATTGCCAGCGAGTCTCCAGCGAGAGCGCGACTCCAAAGCGCCGAGAGAGCGATTCCTGAATAATTTCTCCGAAGTCCCAAGCGAGAGAGCGATTCCTGAGTAACATGCGAGGACGACTCAGGCGGGAACGGGGGTCCTGGCTAAATTGCAAGGAGATCTCAAGCGGGAACCGTTGTTAGTGTAATCTGGAGGGCAACAACGCAGTTTGAACCCCGTAACTGTCCCTGATAAAGAACAGGGTGCGAGCCCTGGGAGAAGCACTTCATTTGAAAAAACACAATGGTCACCGGAGGGGGGATCAACAATACTTATTCTTCAACTGTGAGAATTCAACCACAACTGCAACAACATCAACAACAATGAAAAAATAATATCAACAAGTATGTCAAGACTGCTCGTTGGTCTCTGCTCGCGTGCCATTCAACACGCTTATCCCGAACATTCGATACCTGCCCTCATCGTATTCGATTGTGCCCCCTTGGGGGTATATCTTCCTTACCTGCCGCGTGTAATTTGGCGCAGCCTCTGGAACAGGGGACAACAACAACAACAACAACAACACTAGCAATCCGTTGTTAAGACTGATCGTTCTTATCTGCTCGCGTGCCATTCAACTCGTACATTCCAGAACCTCGTTACCCACCCTCTTCGTCTTCGATCGTACCCCCTCGAGGGGTATATCTTCCTTGACTGCAGCGTGTATTTCGTGCAGCCCCTGAGGCAAGGGAAGAGAGGACGGGCGGAAGGAAGGGACAAGGGGAACGGAGGATGATGGAGCACGAGAGAGAGTAGCAGAAGAGGGGCTAGGAGCAGAAAACAAGTGGCAGAACCAGCCGGGCAGATCGGGCGGAAAGGCCATTACAGGCAAAGGCGAGTCGGGAAGGCGGGCCTAGGCGGCCGGGTCGAGCAAGCAGGTTGCTGAAGCGTGGGTCCTGCATGGATTGCGAGGAAGTGTCGAGCGATAGAGCGATCTGCAACGGGGCCACGAAGGGCAGCGAGGGGGCCACGAAGGAACGGGGCCACGAGGGGGCCACGAAGGGCTGCAACGGGGCCACGAAGCGCTGCAACGGGGGCCACGAAGCGCTGCAACGGGGCCACGAAGGGCAGCGAGGGGGCCACGAAGCGCTGCAACGGGGCCACGAAGGGCAGCGAGGAGGCCACGAAGCGCTGCAACGGGGCCACGAAGGGCAGCGAAGTGGCCGCGAAGCGCTGAAACGGGGCCACAAAGTGCAGCGGGGGGGCGACGAAGGGCGACAGCGGGGCCACGAAGGGCAACGAGGGGACCACGAAGCGCTGCAACGGGGCCACAAAGGGCAGCGAGAGGGCCACGAAGGGCTGCAACAGGGCCGCGAAGGGCAGCGAGATCCCGATTCCTAAACAAGCTGTGAGGGAGTCCTACGCGTGAGCGCGACTCCTGTGTGCCTGAGTGTCGGGAGCGCGGCGATGGAGTAAACTACAAGAAATTCCAACGCAAAAGCGCGATTCGTTAACAAATTGGAAGCAAGTCTCAAGCGAGAGCGCGACTGCAGAGCGCCGAGAGAGCGACTCCTGTAAAATTGTCAGGAAGTCCCAGGCGAGACCGCGATTCCTGAGTAAAATGCAAGGAAGTCTCGGAGGGAGCAGGGGTCCTGGCTAAATTGTGAGGAAGTATCAGGCGGGAACAATTGTTGTTGTGACCCGGGGGCCCCGGGCGCAGTTTGACCCGGGGTGCGAGCCCCAGGGGAAATACTTCAATTGAAAAAAACAATGGTCACTGGAGAGTGGCGATCAACAATACGATTCTTCCGTAGTGAGAGTTCAACACAGCACCACCAACAACAAACAAAAACAATCCGTAAACTTCAAACCGCGACGCGAAAGCCTCCGAAAGGATCCGGAGCCATGGACGTGCACCGTGACACCCTCGCATCGTGAGAAGATCACGCCGGGAGGTCTGTCGCCATGTTTCGACCTCTGGGGCCCTCTTGCCGGGCCCCCAGAGGCCGTCAGGAAACGGCTCGGGATGCGACGCCTTGGACATTGGCCCGCACGAGGGAGAAGAGGCATGGAGAGGAAGAAGAGGAGGAGGGTGAGGAAGAGGACGAGGAGGAGGAGGAGGAGGAGGAGGAGGAGGAGGAGGAGGAGGCATAAGGAGGAGGGGGAGGAGTGAGGAGGAGGAGGCAGGAGGAGTAGGAAGGGAGGAGGAGGAGGAGAGGGGGAGAAGTAGGAGTAGGAGAGGAAGCGGGGAGGAGGAGGAGGGGGACGAGGAGGCCGAGGAGGAGGAGGAGGGGAGAGGAGGAGAAGAGGAGGAGGAGGAGGAGGTGGAGGAGGGGGAGGAGGATAAGGAGGAGGAGGAGAAGAGGAGGAGGGGGATGAGGAGGAGAAGGCGGAGGGAGAGGAGGCGGAGGAGGAGAAGGAGGAGGAGGAGGTCCCCGCCGGCCGGGGCCGGCCAGCGCCCCCCGAGGCCCGAGGGGCCTCCACGTGCCCGCCGAGCTGCCGCCGCTCCGGAGGTC